TTTTTGTACATGATAACTGCAGCGAGATTATTGTATGCACAAAGATGGAAAGATTCGGCACATAATGGAGGAATGGTTGGTGAAGATGATGGAATTTGCTGAGATGGCCAAATTGACCTCTTTGACCAGAGAAAAGGCAACATCTACCTTTATTGCTGACTGGAAACCCTTTATGGACTTATTGTGTAAAAGAGAAAAAATGAACTTATGATTTATGGTTTTGATGATTAGGTAGGATAGAGCTATGTTATAACCATAGAATTAAGAGGTAAATTTATGATTGTACTTATAACTGCTGTAAGGAATCTTTTTTCTTTCTTTTCTATTTTTCTTTTACTTTTTTTCCCCTTTCTGGCACTTTTTAGCTTTCTCTTTGATTTCTTTCTTTTCCTTATGTTACATTAGTTTGTGTTAGTTTTTATCTTCCTTTTTAAAAATATTTAATAAAAATTATGCATGCATGTATGTGTGTATATATATATAGAGAGAGAGAGAGAGAGAACAGTGAGGGGTTTAAACTGGAAATTGCAAAAAGGGCTGCATGAATGACAAACCTTATTTTTGCCAGGACAGTTAACTGGGAAACAGGGGTGACGGGTGGGGCAGTAAAGTTCAATCGTGCAGCCCTTTCTCTGCCAAGAAACCACTGAGCAACTGAACCAAGAGACTTGTGGCTCCATAAACCAGAGGTGAGATGGTGGAGGGAGCTAAGTCAATGGGGAAGCAATGCAGAACACCCAAAATACAATGCAAGGTCACCTGGTACGTTTAATGTTAATCCACCAAATTAAATATGCATCCTTCTGAAACACAGGATTAAAAATGAAGTGTTGGTGATGCACCAATTATTCAATAGATTTTGCATTCATTGGCCTTAACACCAGAAGATGGAGCAAGCTGATTTCAGTTGGGTAGGGGACAGCATCACACATGCCTGGTTAAAACTTCACCAGCAAAAAGCAGATATTCCTTTTAAAAATAAGTTTTAAAAAAAACCTCAATAATTCAAGACATGCTATGGAACCTATCTGGTGGTAATGGCTATGTGGGACTGCTGATGGTTTCATCAGAAAATGTTATGGTGGATTATCTTGGTTAGGTAGAATGTTTTTGCCACCTGACATGATGTGAAAAACCTACCAGGGTAGACAGGCAAATCTGCTCTTGGGTTGGCACTCGAGGCCTTCTGTTGCATACTCACCCCCTGTGCAGAATTCGACAGTCTCACTCCATCCAGAGACAAGGTATTCCCCATCACTTTGCTTCACTGCAGTCTGCACTGCCACACTGTACTCTGTCCTGGGACTCAGAAACCAGTGACCTCTCACAGTCATTGGTAGGGCCACTGCTTTAGCTACCAGCTTGGTAGGGACATCCTGTGCAAAGAAAAGAGCCAAGCCTTGTCAGGAACCCAACTATTTGGGACATGGACTTTGTTAGACCAAGACTGTTAGAACATCACCAGATCATTGACAGAGAAGGGGAAGAGGGTCTAGAGAAACCACACATGGACATCTAGACAAGCCACAATGACATCACAAGTGTCATGACACCATCACATGAGTGACAAGGATAAAATAATTTGCATCATGTGAATTATATAACTTGTATCATTTGCACGATGACATTCTGACATTCAGTTGCTCCCTCTTCACCCCAAGCAGATGTCTGCAGGGCCAGGGCACCTTAAGGCATCCTTCCCCAACACTGCAATGGTTGAAAGTGGAAGTGGGTCATGCGCCTGTTCCAAACTTTAAAAAGGCTGTGCTGAATCTTTGGGACTCCACTAACTGATCTCAGTCCTGCATTCTCCATAATGGAATCATTCCATTTCCTAATGTTTGATCCTTTCCACATCTGCTTCTCTCCCAAGAAAACCCTGAGCAATACAATCAAACAGCTGGTCATTTTAGAACATCCCAAAACAAGTTCTTTGGAGCCATCTTAGTTAATGCAGGACATTGGCTAGACCTGATGGGTCTCCTCAGCATCCTATAGGAAGTCTTTCTCAACCTTGGCAATTTTAAGATGTGTGGACTTCAACTCCTAGAATTCCCCATCCACAGAACAAACAGGAACAGACAGTGTCATCTAAAACAGCAGTTTTCAACCTGTTGTGGTTTACATCCCATCTGTCACTTTGTTAAGTGACTTGGATCCCATGATAGAAACAAAAGCCCACTTTTTCCAAGGATACTTATTTGTTAATAGGCATTCTGTGATCATTACAATTTACTGTAAAAACCTAAAGATGTAAAGTTTTATGACTTACCTTGTGCCCCCCAGACAACTGATGATATAGGCTTGACTGGGGGAAACTATTCTAATGCATCCCACTCCTTGTCCCTAGGGGCTGTGCATTTCATGAAAATGAATAGTCTTATCTTTCAGAGAAACTCATCCTCCATTATAAATCTTTGGCTCCTGCATATATTCATGCAATTGATTAAACCACCTTCATATCCATGCAATCGATTAAAGAGCACTTGGAAACTTATCCTGGTCCTGAATCAATGAGACAAATTATTTGTTGGGAGGATCTGTAGAACTGATTGATTCTTACCCCTGTTGAAAAATCTAGATTGGCTCCCATTTTCATTCCAAATATAGTGGAAAGTGCTGGCTAACTTTTAAAGCCATAAATTGTCCAGTAGCAGCTTTGTCAAAGGATATTCTGCTCCTGGATGAGAACACCTGAATTTTAGTAACTTATCACCTTCTCTTAAAATACAACAAATAATCTCTTCTTCCCATATCCCAACTCTTATCTATAAACAAATTTTAAAGCCTTGTCATTTCAGTCCTAATGTCAGCAAAAGTCAATGGCGGGTTGCGAGAGATATCAACATATCTATTTTAACCTTGTTCAAATAAACCAACTTTCTATT